TCTCACAGGATCCCAGCCTCGGCCTTCCATCTTTGGGCTGTCCCCTCCTCGGAGAACCTAGGAAGTCCCCGGCCACTCTTGCCAGCACCATCCAGTCCTCGCACAGTGTCCTTCCGGCGCAAGTTAAGCCTGAGCCTGCCCACCTCCTCACCCACCTAGGCCCCATTTGGCAGAATCCACGCCTTCGCACCTCTCATCCCCTGACCTCCTCAGGCACTCGCTGGCCTCTGCCACTGTCTCCTAAGCTACCATCCTAAGATGTCGTGGCCACCGGGCCTCTGCACATGTGGCCAGAAAGGCATGAAGTCGCACCTCCCGAACGCACACTGCAGCCTCCCCTACGCCTGCCCTGTCCTTCTACTGACTCTCCTTGCTTTTCCAGCCCTTGGGGACAGAGACTCCTCTGCAATCAGGGGTGCATCAAGTTTGAGGCAGCAGTGAGACACCCATTCTGCTGGCAGAAGCCGGGGTCAGGGTGGGCGCAGGTCCCCACTGTGGTCAGATGGGGCAGGTGGTGAGGTCTCTGAGAAAGGGACCCTGCTCATAAGGAGGCCCTGGACAAGAGGACATGCTTCTCTCTCCGTCTTGGGGCCGCCTGGTCTGAATGTGACTATGTACCCCTGGAGCCCTCCAGACCCCCACTCCAAGGGGACCAGGACAAAACCAAAGACAAGGGAGGTGGGGTGTCAGGTGGAAGGTGTCGCCCCTCACTGGGTGCTCAAGTCAAGTCTCGGGGCTGACTGTCCCTTCCAGTTTGTGCACCCAAGGGCCCCCTATAGGATGACCCCCAACTTCTGCACCGAATCCCACCCCTCCCACCGTCCGAGGGACACTGCTTCATGATATTTCTTTTCTCTCTTATTTCTCCAACTCCTCCCTCTTTACCCGCCCCCTCCCCAGCAGCATCTAAACACATCGGGCTGGGCGTGGTGGCTCACACCTATAATCCCAGCACTTTGGGAGGCTGAGGCGGGTGGATCACCTGAGGTCAGGAGGTCAAGCCAGCCCAGCCAACATGGGGAAACCCCGTCTCTACTGAAAATGCAAAAAATTAGCCGGGTGTGGTGGCAGGCACCTGTAATCCCAGCTACTTGAGAGAGACTGAGGCAGGAGAATTGCTTGAGCCCACAAGGTGGAGGTTGCAGTGAGCTGAGATGGCGCCACTGCGCTCCAGTGTGGGTGACAGAGGGAGATTCCGTCCCAAAAAAAAAAAAAAAAAAAGTAAATAAATAAACACATCAGAACATTCTGGGTTGGAAACCTCTCCCTTCACCCCATGATCCTCTCTAAACGATTTCTCAGCCAAGACTCACTCCAGATCTTCACCTCCCCTTTATCTCAGCCTGGCGCCTGCCTGCCACTCCCCGTCACCCCCCCACCTTCCCCCAGGCAGCTGAGGACACCCTTGCTCAACTCAGCCCCATGGGCCTGTCGCAGATGCTTGCCTCCCTTGGCCTCCATGTGCTGCCCCCTCAGTCCCTTTCTCCCCCTTTACCAACCCCTCTCCTGTCGGACCCTCAGATGCTGGGGTGCGCGGCCTGTGGTCTGAGCCCCGTCCTCTGCTCTATGCAACTCCAGGGAACATGAGCTCTTCATTCCTGCCGCTGTGACTGTCAGCTGCACGCTGTGATTCCTAAATCCATCATTTCCATTCTGGATTCCCTGAGCTTTGGCCCTAACCACCGACTGCACGGCCCACTGTGTTTCCAATGGACCTGCGTTTCCTCTCGCCCCCTACACCGATGTCCCCTCCTGTGCTCCCCCCACCATGGCTGGCACCACTGTCTGCCCAGAAACCCAGGTCAGAAGGTACATGTGCCTCCCACTGACGAGCCACATGGTGTCAAGGCAGCCTCCTAGACATCACTCCAATCAGTCTATGTCCCTGCTGTCACCACCATGGATCTGCTGTCACCTGCGTCACCCCAGAGCCAGTCTTCCTGCGTCAGGTTCCACCCCTCTACCTCTTTTCAACATGGCAGTCACGGTACTGCCACTTAAGGAGTGGTGCCCAGGCTACCCAGGGGTAACAGTCGGTTATGGAACCAGGAAGTGAGCATTTCAAAACCTTTCTAGCCACGTGATAGTTCACGGTCCACACTGTTACTGTCCTTTGCAAAAGTTTTGGTCCACAACAGGTTAGAAACTTAAAAAAACAAAAACCAAAATGGTCTTTCACCACAGAGTTCGTGACGCTCCGTTCTAGAACAGCTGAGGCCAGGCTTTAAGGAGCAGGGTGCAGAACTGGCTGTACTGTGGCTCACCTGGCTCTAGAACATGGACCGAAGCCTTCCACGAGTCTCTCCCACGCTTCCAGGAAACACTCCTCACCCCTCCCCAAGCCAGGCCCCC